ATGCGATCTAGACCCTGTAAGAACACGATTATTAATCCTATCAGAAACCAAGCATTCGTTCAAGGTGAAACTGCATTCGTTCAAGGTGAAACTCACAGAAAAAAACCTTGATCACATAATTGACTCACACTCAGCAAATTGACATTCAGGTTCTCAACTAACAAAACATTATCAATTCTAGGAAGACCAGGCATGTTCAAACATCCAATTCCCACAACTTCATTACAAGCACCATTACCAAAAGTAACAGAACCAGAACCATTAGACACAGGTACAACATCAATCAAATTCGATTTAACACCCGTCATGTGTCTAGAACATCCACTATCAAAATACCAATCACAAGTAGAAGTGGATTTTGAAGCAAACAGAGATGAAAGACAAGTATGATTCTTTTTGGGAACCCAAATTTTCTGTTGCTTATGGTTCTTTACATCAACCTTCAGTTTTGGTGTTTTCATTGAAACACCAGCGGGGTTCCAGTCATTCATTCTTCTTGCATGCAAATCATTAAGCATCCTATAGCATCTAGGACGAATATGACCAAGAACACCACAATAATGACAAGTAGGAATGAAATTCTTCACAAAACGTTTACGGTGTTCTTTCACAGAAACCTGATCAACCTTACCATCAAAGTTGGAACCTTCCTTCACAAAAGTTAGAGAGGACTTACTCAGAGACGTGCTTGGTTCACCCACTTTACCTTTCAGTTTCTGATTGGAGGAGTTCTTACTCTGTTCTGAACACGCAATCTGATGACTCAACCTTTGAACTTCAGCAAATGAGGACTTTGGCTTATTGATCATTTTGACAATCTCTTCACTCTTGTTGAGCTTTTGTTCCAAGGTTGAACAATGGCTTCGAAGAGTCACATGTTCTTCCATCACACGACCGAGTTTTTCTTTAAGAACAACAATCTCAGTTTCTCTTTCACCTACACGACTCTGCACAGCAAACAACTCATTACGCAAAGATTCAATGGTAAAATTTTGTTCATCACTTGCCTGTTTGTTAAGTTTGTCTCCATGTTCCACCAATGCAAGCTTGGCAAGGCATCTATTGAGATCCTTGTCTTTCTTCCCGATGTGAAGATCAGATTTGATGAGCTTTTCATTTAGATCAACGGTCATCACTCTCATCTTCTGGAGTTCATCTTTGTGATACGTAATCTCTTTTTCACGTTCAGCAGACCGATGTTCCAACCGCTTCATCTTC